CAGGGCGGCGCCTGGTTTCCCAGAGACGCCTCCATCCACCTCCTGCTGGCCACGCCTCAGTCCTCCATCCCCAGGGACGTGTCTCTGGACCTGACCTTTGACCCCCACAGAGTCCTGCTGAGAGTCAAACATCCACTGAAAACCATCATTCTACAAGGTGAGGCTGAGAGGAGCTCCTTAACAGGCCGAGCATCACCTCAGATGGTTTAAAGCTCGTTCTTCTGTTCTTTAGGACAACTGGAGCAAGAGAGGAGAGTCAAATCAGGGCTGCTGGAACTCACAGTGGACAGCGTTCAATATTACATCATGGTAAGTTTTTAATGATTACATTATATCTTAATAAGAGCTGGAGCAGATTACTAAACTCATCTCAAACAATATTAATATAAAAAAAAACAGGCAAATTCAATGTAATATTTTTCACCGCATACATTATATCCCATATAGGTTGAATAAGTTGAGCATCACTGATAAATGCCAGAGGTGTAGGACGTCTGTTAACATCAGCAGTTTCTGGGTTTTCTTTAGATCCGGAGCCCAGGATATGGATACTTGGAGATGTTATGTTCTGGAAATTAAATCCTTCCAAGAAATAGTTTGTTTTGTTAGCATCATCTGCAGCGAAAAAATAAAATTATACTTCAAAACTGGAAATCTATGGAGCCTCCAAACAAGAAACATTGGATCAACCAACTGTTGTCATTCTGCACTCCTGAAAAAAATGGGACATTGGCTAAATATGGAGTCCCTTCCTGGACATTCTAATCAGATTAGACCAGAGAGACGGATAAATATTAATCTTTACTGTGTTTTAATTATTCCAAGTTTCCTTTTCTATTAATTATAACCTTTTAGAAATATGGTTAAAGTCGTAGAGAAGCGGCTGTTCCAACCTTTGCATTTCCAAATTCTCCCAATTGGTCGATTATCAAGGGGGCGGGATTGTTGTAGCGGAAGGTTCACAAGCATGTTTGGTTGTGGCCGGTTTGTCGGAAGCATCTTGCTAACCAGTTAGCAACTTAGTGCTAGCAGGTTCCCAATGGGAAATTCCATTGGGACCAAGTAGCACTAAATTGCTAATCAGTTAGCAACTTAGTGCTAGCAGGTTCCCAATGGGAAATTCCATCCACTTTTCCATTTTTGTTCCATTTCTCTGCATTTCACCACATGGAGGGGCCGCTTGCAAACAAGTGTCATCTTAAATCAGACTTCTAATTATGAGTTCTACACCGCATCCCTCCAATGTGTTTTAATATTTAAAGTCGTAGGGAAGCGGCTGTTCCAATCGTTGCATTTCCGAATTCTCCTGAGTGGTGCCCGACTTTACACGAGTGAGTAAAGTGAATGTGATTGGTCGATTATCAAGGGGGCAGGATTGTTGTGGCGGAAAGTTCGTAACCACGTTTGGTTGTGGCCGGTTTGACGGAAGCATCTTGCTAACCAGTTAGCAACTTAGTGCTAG